CCTCGCCCCCCCCCCCCCCCCCGCCGCCGCCGCCGCCGCCCCTCCTCTCGGGCCGCGTACCTGCGGGAGGGCCTGGCCTCTCCTCACACCCCCTGAGGGGCGCACCCCGGAGCGGCCCAGCGTCGGCGACGACGACGACGACGGCGACGGCGGCGGCGTCTCCTCATCGCGGTGACAGCCGGGAGCCCCGCCCACCCTGGCCCCGCCCTCCTCTCGCGAGACAAGAGCGGGCGCGGGCGAAACCGCGCCCTCCCGCCCCCTTCGCCTTCCCTTCTGGTCACGTGGGCGGAGGCGCAAGCGCGGGAATGCTGCCCGTCAACGAGAGGAGCGTTCCCAGAGAGGAACTAAGACCATAGAGTTCAGCAGTGCGTGCCTCCCTCCTCGTTCCCTTCCTGGCTCTCAGAAGGGGCGTGGCCTCTAGGTTGCTAATTTGCATACAGTGGGCGCGGCCTGAGCGAAGGACCAGCGGGGATCCTGATTGGATGCAGAAAGGGCGCGCGGCAGTTGATTGGCAGTAGTCTAATTGATTCAGATTAGAGAGGAACTAAGACCATAGAGTTCAGCAGTGCGTGCCTCCCTCCTCGTTCCCTTCCTGGCTCTCAGAAGGGGCGTGGCCTCTAGGTTGCTAATTTGCATACAGTGGGCGCGGCCTGAGCGAAGGACCAGCGGGGATCCTGATTGGATGCAGAAAGGGCGCGCGGCAGTTGATTGGCAGTAGTCTAATTGATTCAGATTAGATCATCAAAATTAATACTGTACCTTCATCGTTGCTTTAAAAAACTGCTGTAAGATTTCAAATTATTAATTATTATTTGAATCTATCGCCCTATCTCTGCCTGTAACCCCAGACCAAGTCAGGAGAGAATAAGCTACATATATAAATTTCTATAAAATGTATATAAAATCACATTTTAAATCAGCTGTATTTTAATTTTTAAATAACTTTCTGTACTTTTCTGTATAGATTTAGAGCCAGTAATTAGGGAAATAAACTCTCTCACACACCTGTAGCTGCGGTTGAAAATTAATTCAGTTTAATTGTTTAAAAATGGAAAGAAGACTATTTGAAATCTTTCAACCAAGATCTATTATTATTATTATTATTATTATTCCCCCAATTTAAAAAATGTTATGGCAGGCAAATCCTGCTAAGGATTTTATTGGGTTTCCATCTATTGCAGATAGCAGTAATAAACATATGAAGAAGCAGAATTAGTCAAACAAACACAACTCTAATGATAAAGTGCTAACCTTTTTTTTAAAAAAATGCCTTTTTTTCTGCTCTGGAATGTGCTTGGATGCAATAACTCAGAAAAAAAGACAGAGGCAGAAAGAATTCCATCAACTCTGAGCAAATTTTATTTTCAACATAGGTCACGGAATAGAAGAAAAACAATTGGCTCACCAAGAAGCAGGAGATGAAAGCTGCTGCTCTGTAGCAGAAGGCAGGGGTTGAAGCGACCAGGGGGGCGTTCTGGGTGAAAAGGGACACGTCTGTTTGCGTAAACACCTATACAGCACTTTCACAACGGAGTCAAATAGAGGAGTCTTCAAACAGCAGGCAAGAGGACGAAATTCACGTACAGCTGCTTTCTCAAGCCGGCGCCCTCCCAACCGGGAGGACAACAGAAGCCACAACTGGAGAGAGCCGGCTTCCGAAATACAGAGAGTTTGGCTTGTAACTTGGACCGTTAACACATCAGAACATTTATTTATATGTACCTTTAGGAGAAAAAAAGCAGGACAAACCAACAGAGTAAAAAAAGAAAAAAGGCAGCACTTGATGGAGAAAAGATTTCACATTATTTTGTGGGAGGTGTGTTTTGTCATAATGAAGGTGTTTCTCAGCGGTGGATTTTTGCAAACCAAAAACAACTTCTGAGCCGAAAAAGGGCATCACACCAACTGGAAAAGTACCCAAAACAAGTTAGTTCAGGTGGAGCAGGGGCATGTTCGTCTCCGGTTAAGAGCGGACCTTCCTTTTCCCTTCATGTTCTGGAGACATACATACAGAGTGAGTCAGGGTGGCCAATGGAATGTATATAGGTATTTACAAAGGCGTCAGAAAGGCTTCAGAAATTTATGTTTGTTGTTTACCTTTGCCAGTGGGTGTCAGATTTCGAACACCTCGTTTCCTCAGAAAATAAGATAGCAATTAATGGAACGGCCCAGGGCAAACCAGGAAATCTATGTGCGCCATAGGGATGAACCGATCTCTTTACTGAACAAATCCACATCTATATGAACACGTATCAAAAGGATCCGAAACATTTCAGCTGGAAAGAAGGGAGATGAGATTTTTGTTTTGAGTCTGGCTGGTCTGGTAAATATGTCCATTTCATTCTGAAATTAAGTCTTCCATAGCAGTTTTTATCCCCCTTCTGAACGCTGCCAGCGTTCCGTGACAGAAGCAGGAAGTTCAAACAGGAAGCTTTGAAGACACATGCGAGGTTGTTTCCTTTTATAAAAAAAAAGAGCAGAAAAGAAAATGTCAAGGTGTCATCTCACATAAACCTGTGGAAGCCTTCAAGGTTTTTCCCTGCCACCCTGCAGTTTACTTTCCATGAAAGGAACTCACAGTTAAATGCTGAATTCAGAATAGTCTCCAAAATCCTGCAGTTATCTGAGATCACCTCACTTTCAAGAGCAAAGTTGCAGAAGCGATGTACAGTATATAATTAACTGCCATTTATAAAGCGCCTAAAAGACACTGTAGGTACTGTACAATAAAAAACCCTGAAATTATTTTCTTTACACATATATAAGTATTTTGTGGCTTCAGTGGAACAAAAGAAACAATGATTATTTTTTAAAAACATCACAACAGAACTAGCTTGTTGGGGGACTTAGATGAAATGATCACCTATCATAAACAGTTTCGTGGCCCCTTTAAGTCAGAATTATGTGGTGATGACTGAGGAAATAGGCCTTGTGAATTGTTAAGGTGCCACAAGACTTTTTGTTATATTTGATGCAACAAATGTACCGTATTTTTCGCACCATAAGATGCACTTTTCCCCCACAAAACAGGGGGGTGGAAAGAATGTGCGTCTTATGGAGCGAAGAAAACAGATTATATTTTCCTGTTTTCTTCTCCTAAAAATTTGGTGCGTCTTATGGAAAGGTGTGTCTTATGGAGCGAAAAATACCCGGTGATCAGCTATTTGTGAGACCACATTAATATCTGTCGAACGATTGGATTGCGTTTACATGCCTGGCACACAGGGGTTGACACCGTACGATGGAGGATTCCTAGGCTTACCTTTGCACCTGCCCGAATCGCCACCTCTAGTCATAATCTATTCTGACTTCCGTGATAGTGTCGAAGGCTGTCTTCTCCATGCCGCCCCTTCCGTGCACGGAGGTCAGGTGCTTCTTGAGGGCGGATTTGTGCTTGAAGTCCATGTCGCAGCAGTGACACTTGTAGGGCCGGTCTCCGCTGTGGATGTTCAAGTGGTCCTGAAGGGTGCTCTTGGCCGTGAAGGTCTTGAGACACACCATGCACTGGAAAGGACGGATGCCCATGTGACCGCGGATGTGCCGGTTGAGGTTCTTCTTCTGCGTAAAGGTCTTCCCGCATTGTAAGCAGAGGAAGAGTTTGTGCATTTTCAGGTGGCGGAGATAGTTTTCCAAGTGGAGGAACCCCCGGGGACACTTGGGACACTGGTGCCGCCAGGGGTAGCAGCTGGAGTCCTCGGGGCTTTGGAACCCGCCCACGGCGCCGACGGGTCCTTCCGAATGCTCGCTCCCGAAGCTTTGGAACGGAGCCCCAGGGACATCTGTCATCCGGCTCTCCACCGTCGAATTGATCAAGGAGTGCTGAGTTTCAGGGAAATACAAAGTCGTTTTCGAGGAGGTGGAAGGTTGCGAAAACTGCTCGTCTTCCACGTTCGGCGTGTTGAGGGCGTCCATTTGGAAGATGCAGATCTCGTCGTCTTTGTACCCGATCTCTATCGTTGAGATTTCGGGGCTTCTGGCCTCCTTCTGCTCTGACCTCAAACTTTGCACCCCTGGCCGGCAGTTCTCCCCTTTCTCCTGTTTGACGCGGTTCTCTAAAGGATCGAGGCCATCTTCGGAGATCTCAATGATTTCGCAGTCTTTATCCAGGCCGCCCTCTCCGCCTCCCAGCTCCGTGTGGGAGGAGTGGCATTTCTCGGCATCCGTGCCGTCGCCTTCCACAGCAGCATCAATTTCCAGGTATTTGGAGAGAGCCTCGGTGCACTTCTCCACGATGTGGACCATCTGCAGGTAACTGGCCGCCGTGAGGTATTTCAAGAGCTCCTTTCTCTTCACCTCCAGCGCGCCCGTGTAGCACGAGAGGAGGAGCTTCCGGCCCACCTCGGCGCTCTGCAGGATCGTGATGCGCACCTGCTGGGACTGGGTGAGCAGGAACTGGTCGCGCATGAAAGTGGAGCAGGCGGCGAAGATCACCTTGTGGCCGTGGAAGGCGGTGTCGTTGATGTAGATCGAGACGTCGCAGAAGAGGTTCTGCTGCCGAAGGAGGTTCATCTTCTGCAGGATGGCGTCGCCCTGCTGCTCGAACTGGAAATGCAGCACCTCCGAGTCGGCAGCCATCGTCACAGCACAGTCTCAGAAAGGAAGCTGGGGGGGAAAAGAAGAAGATAATTTCAATGCTTCAAGAAATCAAAGGGAAGGGAAGTAAGGTGCGGTGGGGAGAGAGCCAAATTTGGAAATCATCCTTTTTTTAAAAAGCCAATCAAAAAAGTTACTTTTTCTAACTCTGGATGAGAGCTCCCTTTGGTTCATCATCTCTCAGCCTTGATCTGGCTCACAGGATCGTTGTGGGCAATCACATGGGGAGCAGAAGGAAGGGTGGAATGTAAGCATAAAAAAAATCAATAATAATTAGTTCTTTAGATACATTAGAGGCGTCAAGATAAACCACGAACTCCTTGATCACTCCCCAACACACCATTACATATATGGAGATGATGGTTTAATCAGAAACCATAACTAACAGTGCACATTTGTGTTTCGAAAAAGGCGGGGAATAAATATTTTTCGGATGGCTTAATCAGAAACCATAATTAACAGTGCACATTTGTGTTTCGAGAAAGGCGGGGAATAAATGTTTTCAACGCAGTGATGTCAGCAAAGGAATCGCCCCCCATGTCTGCTCCCAAGAGGTGCCCCGTCCTCTGTAACCGTAGCCCTGTGATGCAAAATGCAGTAGCAGAAGATTGCGTGGTAGAGGCATGTGTGGCTCGTTGGCTTGCAGCCTCCTAGAATCATAGAAAAGTGAAGTCGTACTGCTCTAACAGTTTGGAAGTTTTTCCTGATATTCAACCGAAATCTGGCTTCCTTTAACTTGAGCCTGTTGTTGCCTGTCCTGCACTCTGCGATGATCGAGAACAGATCCTGCCCCCCTCTGGAGGACAGCCTTTCAAATATTTGAAAAGTGCTCTCCTATCACACCCCTCCGTCTGCTTTTCTCCAGGCGAAACGTGCCCAGTTCTTTCATCCTTTCCTCATAAGGTTTGGTTTCCAGTCCCCCGATCATCATCCTTGTCGCCCTCCCCTGAACTCGTTCCAATTTGTTAGCATCCTTCTTGCAGGGCGGTGTCCAGAAGTGGACACAAGACTCAAGGTGAGGCCCCACCACTTGCTTCTGGCGGCTTCCCCACCCCGTCCTCAACATCATCCACCTGGCTCGGAGGGGAGAGAAGGGGGCTTTAAAAGCCTGCTGTGCCGGAGCAAAATGCCTGCCTTTTGGGGGGGGGGGAAGAGTCTTCATCATCTGCCATCCCAGAGACCCGTACGGCTGTGCAGCTGCTGGGGGCCAGCCTTCCTGGGGGAAGCCGTGGCAATAATGGGGGAGCCTAGATTTTTGCACAAGATCTTGCACAATCCACTTCCTTAGCCCTTTATTTTTTATTTTTTTGCATTTTTCTGGGGGCTGCTGAGATGAACCCTCTTTCCAGGAGGGCGATCCCAGTTTTTATGCCATCAGAGGGCGGCCGTTTCCCTTCATCATCATCCCTTCTTCATCATCTTTCGGAATTGGGACTCCAAGGCCACCTGCTCTTCCCGGGCTCCCTCCTCTCTTCCTCCCCCCCCACCATGATCACAATAAAACCTCCCCTTGGGTTGCTCACCTGGTGGCTGCAGGTTCGAGACCAGCCTGCGTCTCCTTTTTTCCCCCACCCCAGTGGCCAGGGAACAGCTGGCAATAAACTTCCGGGTCTCTTTCCAGGATTCCCCCCCCCTTTTTATTTTTTATTTCTCTCTCTCTTTCTCTTTCCCTCACTTCCACCTTTCCACCTTAACCCGGAAAAGCATCCGCAGGCACGCGTAACACGCCCATCATCTCCCCCATCATCATCTTTCGGAATTGGGGCTCCAAGGCCACCTGCTCTTCCCGGCGGCCTCCCTCCTCTCTTCCTCCCCCCCCCCCCGCACTCACAAAAAACCCACACCGACGTGCCCTC